CATTGTTGGTGCAGTGGCTACTGAAAAAGGCTTGATTTCATATGCTAACAAGGGGTGTTAGTATTTCTGTTTCTCTACCCATTCTTTCTATACTATCTATCTACCTACCAATCTATATATCCATCTATATATATATATATATATATATATATCCATATGTGTATCCCTACCCCATCCACGATGGGTCCTTTCCTATCCTTGAAATGTTACCTACCTAGTCTGTGTGGACATTGCAACAACATTTAACAAAGTAAGAGGACTCTTTGCCTGTTTATTAATAAATAACATCATCTAGGAGGTAGCTATATAAATAGTCTTGTTATTATTATTATTATTATGCATTAGTCTATATCATCTCTTAATAACATTATCTTGTGGCCCTAATAAGGGCCTGTTTGTATGTATACGTAGGTTGGGACCTAAGCACGTTCTCCACGGATGCGGCGAGCTAACTGAATGTCCTTAGGCATGATGGTAACACGCTTAGCATGGATGGCACACAAGTTAGTATCTTCAAAGAGACCAACTAAGTAAGCCTCAGAGGCCTCTTGTAAAGCCATGACAGCTGACGACTGGAATCGCAGGTCAGTCTTGAAATCTTGAGCAATCTCACGTACAAGTCGCTGGAATGGAAGTTTCCTGATGAGCAGCTCAGTGCTCTTCTGGTAGCGACGGATCTCACGTAGAGCAACGGTACCAGGCCTGTAACGATGAGGCTTCTTGACACCTCCAGTGGCAGGTGCAGACTTGCGGGCTGCCTTCGTAGCCAGCTGCTTTCGAGGAGCCTTGCCTCCCGTGGACTTGCGGGCTGTTTGCTTAGTGCGAGCCATTCTGTATGACTGATATGAAAAATTTCCCCGCTACATCTTGCTTTTATAGTGCAGCCCGCCGCCTCGATCTGCGATTCCATTGGCTAAGAACTCCGCTGACGTCCTCACTAAGCTCCGCCTACTCTCGCCTTCCTCCTGCTCCTGTTTCTACATTATGTCTCGTCATTTGTTTCATTTAGAAGGTTGTATGGAATTCACACCTCATAGGTCAATGAGTGAGAGCAGCAGGCACCTTTAGGTCTAAAGGCGAAATCAGGAATTAGAGCATAGACTGAAAATTAGCAAGGAAGTTATACTCTAGGTATAGTGCTACGTAGGCGTGAACTTACCGCGTCCACACGCTGGGTATATAACAACAAGCGAAAACGCGGCATTTTAGATATCAGACACTTAGGATATACAGCCCGTCAATCTCCTGCTGAACACTGGAATGGCGTAGCTATTCTTGTGAAAAGTACAATAAAACATGAGTTCTTATCCCTTCCATTTACATATTCTCACAGCATGGCTGTGAAAATTTACACGATACATGGACCAATCATCCTGTACACGACATATACCAGACCCCATCAAAACATTAACATTCACGATTTAACCATTCTTTTTTAATCATACACATCTCCCTGTTTATCTACTTGCCGACCTAAATGCCAAACACACAGATTTCCATGACAACTACACAAATCTACGTGGAAGGCAACTTCATACACTTGTAACACAGAAACATCTCATACACCTTGGACCTTACTTCCCAACAGTCTTTACACACCTTGGCCAAGGCACCCCTGATAAAATTTTTACAAACAGAGCTAGTAATCGCTTACATCACTACACAACACCAGGACCACTCTCTGGATCTGACCACATTCCTATCATTTTGCATATTTCCTCAAATCCTATACTCATTCCAGTTCGCCCCTCTCCAGCTTATTCTCAGGCGGACTGGGATCTCTTCAAACAACGCCTAAACACTCTTGATCTAACACAAAAACTATACAATACCAATCAGACTAACACAAAAATTAAACGTATTCAACAAACAATTACCCAAACTGCTAAAAGGGTTTTGTCCAAGACCCCACACAAAGTAAATACTTTTTTCGCCCAACAAAAAACAAAAAGATTACTCATATGTTACAGACACCGTTTCCTACAAACCAAACAACTCAATATCAACCGATGGGACCTCACTATTTTTACGTACACATATCATCCATACCTAGATGATGACCACGCCCACATTGGAAAATAAAGTTTATAAATCATACAATGTACACTACAAGAGATCCAAAGCATTCTGGTCATCCATTCGGAAACTTTACAGGACCCCTCAAACCTCAACCTTTAGACACATAAACAGCGACAACGACAGATTCTGACCTGCTGAAGCGGTACATAATTTTCAAAGACATATGGAAAACATCTTCCACCCACATCCACCAACCAAAGCTGTCATGGCACACCAGTAAACATAGAGAAGAGGGTATCAAACCATGAGAATTAACAATCCTGATCAAGTCATAAACCTAAACACCCAACTTCCACACATCCTTCTAAACTCTCCCATTACTGTAAATGATGTTCACTCATACTAACACACCTTCCAAAAAAACTCCAGGTGCTTCCAGTGTCTGTCACATTCAGTCTTCGTCACCTTCCACTTTCTCCCTGCTTCAGCTACACTGACCCTCTTTAATGCCTCCTAGCACGGGCTATTCCCCTCCATTCTTTAAATCTGCAACTGCATGCTCAAACCAAAACCTGGGAAAGACTTAAACTGACCCCAAAACTATAGCCCAAATCAGCCTTCTTGAAATTTAGGTAAGACCTTTGAACACTAGTAAATAGCGACTCGGGACTTCACCTAGAGAAAAACATAATTTCTTACTGAAAGACAATTCGGTTCCAAACAAAAACGACCCTACCCAAGACTTTTGAATGTAAATCCTGAACTATATACGATCAAAAAGCCCAGAACTGTCCCTCCGCCCCTCGTAGCCAAAGATTAGAAAAAGCTTTTGACACTGTTTGGCTGAAAGGATTAAAATACAAACTTTGCAACCTTCCTTTGACTTAACTTTAAATAATGAAATTATTATGTCTTTTTTAATGGCAGAACGATGCGAAATACGTTCAAATCATTATTCTGACTATTTCACATTAAAAGCGGGTGTACCCCAAGCTCTGTCCTACTCCCACCCTATATATACTCTACACGAATGATTTACCAGAACCTCTTAACCCTAACACAATTACCCTTTCCTACGCTGACGACATCACTCAACTCACAACACAGAAAATTTTCGTTTCCTTGTACGCAGAACAAAAAGAGTCGACAGGATTCCCGACGGGGAATTTTTAGGGCGCTCAAACCAACCCCAAAAAGCAAAAATCACTTACTTCCAAAATGCGAGATGTCCCCACTCCTGTCGAACTCAAAACAACACCTCCCTTACCCCCATCCCACGCTTTTCAAGACAGTTGCCCCTTGGTATTACCCCCTCAACCACACACTGAGCTTCAAATTCACACATCACTACAAAGACCATACTGCGAGAACTGCACTCTCAAGCTAAAATAAGGCGAGGAGCCAGTCCCAAGACAAAACTACTTTCTTTATAAAGCTCTCATTCGTCCTCTACTCTCATACTTTCCACTCGCTTTGACGTAAATTGCCAAGACAAACCCTAAAATTTCACGTTCCAGAATCGTGCATTACTTTGGGTTTTGGGGAAAGTGAGGTGGGACGAATTTGCCACTAGGAATCTCTCCCACCTCACGACAAACACACCACTTGAACTGTACTGGAAACACTTAGTGACAAAACAACTTGACCAGATTGAAACATATCAGACTATTGGCCTACTTACTTAGATGATACTCTCAACGTCCTACAATATGAAATCTTTTTCAATCATTGAATGATCCGGCACTCCACCAACATACACTACTTGTCTGATTTTGCTAAAATATAAAAATAACTTAAAAAGTGCCATTGCCGTATAGCTGTGCTTTGTGCTTTTTTTGGGGTTTAGTGCTTGAGATTTGCGTTTTGCTCGCCTTTGCAACAACATGTCCCTGAACCATTTCCGTCATTGCAGATTGAAGTGCTCCATCATTGCTGTCAGCACCCGCAGAGTCCCTGTTATTTTATGCCCGTCTTCTTTATTGTTTTTTCCAGGCTTAGCAGTTGGGTTTTTAGTCCTGACCTCTCTCTTCAACTCAAGACATTCCTCTCACCATCTATTCTTCGCACTGTCCCCACTTGCCCTCGCCCCCGGGTCCTACCGTGAGTCCTATCCTATCCTATCAACCCTTTTTAGACTTCGACTCATTCTCTGGGAGAGAGCGGTTGGGGCTGCATCTTTCTGGTGACTTTTTTGATTCTGCAATAAACTGGTCGCGGCAGGGAGGCAAAGGACTTGGAAAGGGTGGCGCCAAACGTCATCGCAAGGTTCTTCGTGACAACATCCAGGGCATCACCAAGCCCGCTTTTCGTCGACTGGCTCGTCGTGGCGGCGTCAAACGTATTTCGGGCCTGATCACGAGGAAACTCGAGGAGTTCTCAAAGTTTCTTAGAGAACGTCATCCGAGATGCCGTCACATACACAGACAACGCCAAGAGGAAAACTGTTTACTGCAATGGAATGTCTTTTTAATGCCTTGAAACGGCAAGGACGCACCCTTTTAGGCTTTGGTGGTAAAATAAATTACAACTACCACGATCTTTTTCCTCAACAAACAAACATCATAATCGAGGAAAAGAAAAAAAAAAAAAAAGGACCTTATTAAAGGTCCATATTGATTTCAAACGAAAAGAGTTTGCAATTAGACAATATATTACATGAATAGTATAAAACTAAATTCCCTTTCCTAGCTACATGAAATAGATATATATATATATATATATATATATAATATATATATATATATATATATATATATAATATATATATATATAATATATAAAATATTTTTAATAAAATATATATATATATAAAATATATATATAATTATATATATATTATATATATATAATATATATATAATATATATATATATATTATATATATATATATATATATAATATATATATATACTATTAATAATCAGTATATTTTACTAAAGAAATTACTTGGGAATTTGACATTTCTGCAAAAATTTTAAATTAAAAAAAGGGTTTCTTGCTTGCTTCCTTCAGGTCTTGACTGATCGCTGAATGTTGGTTTTCAGGCGTCCCGTGCGCGCGCGCGCCGTGCGTGCGTGGGGTGCGTGCGTGCGTGCGTGCGTGCGTGTGTGTGTGTGTGTGGGGTGTGTGTGTGTACTCACCTAGTTGAGGTTGCGGGGGTCGAGTCCGAGCTCCTGGCCCCGTGTGTGTGAGAGTGTGTGTGTGTGTGTGTGTGTGTGTGGTGTGTGTGTGTGTTGTGTGTGTGTGTGTTTTGGTATGCTTGTCTGTGTGTGTTAAGGAGAGGTAGGGGGAATAGGGGCGGTGGATGGACACACAATGAAACAGTATGGCAGCTTCGTCCTTGGGGAAAAACAACTGTGTTTTCATGTGTCCAGAGTTTTTCATGAATTATTGTTTTTTTACGGCTGCCTGACAGACTTAGGCGTGGCCTAGTATTGTAACTGAAAGTAAATCGTTTGTTTGGTAGCTACCAAATGTGGGTTAGACAAACAGTTTGTCGAAATGGTTGTTTTTGAGAGGGACTAATAGTAGCATATGAGGTACAAAGGATATGGAATCCTCTTTCCTTGAGCATGTAGAACATAAAACATAAGAACGAAGGAACCTGCAGAAGGCATGTAAAGGACCTGCCTAGTAATGGGCCAACAGGCCTCTGCAGTGATCCTCCTTTCTTGTTCTTGTTTTATGTTCTTATGTAGGTCACCTTGAAAAAAAACATTGCTTTAAGAATTTGAAAGGGCCGCCCAGCCGACCGGCCGGCAGGGAGGCAGGCAGGCAGGCAGGCAGGCAGCAGGCAGGTAGGCAGGCAGGCAGGCAGGCAGCAGGC